TGCAGCCCCACTTGCCCAGCTCCTCTCGCTACACCAGGGAGAAGCACGAACAGACGATGGCGGGAGGGAAACAGGAACCCGAGAGGAGCCTGTTCATGTGGGAAGTGTGGGCACCACCAAACAGGGATGCGGACACCACAGGAAGGAAGGAGTCTCGACAAGCCACGCTTCCGACAGGGGAAGTGTCCTGGGGCTGGGACTTCATCAGGGCGAAATGTTCAATCCGGATCAAGAAAGCGCAAGGCTGGAATTTCCTGGATGATCCGTGTCTACACCTTACAAACCATTGAGGACCCGCTGGCCTGAGCTCCCCGTGGTGTGGTTTTATCCGCAGTGGAAACATAGCAGGAAAGAAACGAAGTTTCTCTAAAATGCCAACACATGAACCAGTGTGACACTGCACCTAAGTGCAACAGCCTGTGTTGTTCTCATTTGCCAATATCCCAGTCACAAATGCTGCGGCAATAAGTGCAACACAGATGCCTCTACAAGAGGATGCACTTGAGGGCCGGGCGTGGGGGCTCACGCCTGCAATCCTAGCACTCTGGGAGGCCGAGGCGGGAGGATCATTTCAGCTCAGGAGTTTGAGACCAGCCTGAGCAAGAGCGAGAAACCCCGTCTCTACTAAAAAAATAGAAAGAAATTAGCTGGACAACTAAATATATCTATAATTATATCTATATCTATTATATATACATATAAGTTAGCCGGGCATGGTGGCGCGTGCCTGTATCCCAGCTACTCGGGAGGCTGAGGCAGGAGGATCGCTTGAGCCCAAGAGTTGAGGTTGCTGTGAGCTAGGCTGACGCCACGGCACTCTAGCCCAAGCAACAGAGTGAGACTCTATCTCAAAAAAAAAAGAGGATACGCTTGAAAAAATAACACGTCCAGGTACGTCTTGCCCAACCAGCAAGCACAGCCCTCTCTGAACTGACAAGTTACAAGCTGGGAGACGTGCAGGCCGCAGCTGATCTGCCCATGAGACCGACAGCCGGGCTCTTTGGGAAAAGCACCTGATGTAGACAGAACCCTAGGGATGTGAGTTCATAAAGGATGCCTCTTCTCTAACGTTCAGCGTGAACTAGCAACCTCAGCTACTTGCGGTGACGCCACCCGAGAGGGCGACCCTGTTCCCCTGGTCCCGGCCGCCTCTCTGCAGCTCCGCTTTGCTCTGGTCCACTTTCCCTGCTTACGCGGCGCGCCGGTGTCTGCGAGGCTGTGGGGCGGCTGCATGGCCAGAGACCGTCCGTGGACGGGGCTTAGGGAGTGGGAGCCGCAACACAGGACGCCGGACACAAAAGCCCACGCTGTGGCTCCGCTTGTGTCAGCGCCAGAAAAGGCAAAATGAGCCCACTCACAGCGGCTGCCTGGGATGGGGTCAGGGAGGGACTAACAAGGGACACGGGAAACTCTCTGGGGCGATGAAACCGTCCTGTGGTTTGCTACATCTGTCACACTCTTGCAGTGCTCGGGCGTGGGTGGGCCTGCAGTCCCAGCCGACTTGGGAGGCCGAGGCCAGAGGATTGCTGGAGCCCAGGAGCCTGAGGCCAGCCTCGTTATCACAGCGAGAGACCCTGTCTCTACTTTTAAAAATAAGACATAAATAAATACACTTAAAGTGAGTACATTTTACTGTGTGTGAACCCTACCTCAGTGAAACTGGCTTTTAGGAAATGCAGGCGTGATGTATGCGGGAAACCAAGCGACGCGGCGCCCGGCGTGCTCTGGTGGAGTCCTTCCCCTCCCCCCACTGGCCCCGCCCCCGGCCGGCCCCGCCCGTGAGCACAGCCCTGGCTTGGACAGACCCAGGCACCGGGCGAGGAGCTGCGCCCAATGCCCACCCGGCCGGGGACCCCCACAGCGAAAAGTTATATTAAGTAAAAAAAAAAGTCATTTAACATGATATTAAAGTAATAATCTCTTTTTCATGTTTCATCCTTAAAAATGAACAAGTTCCATTTGTAAAGACCATTTAGAAATGAATCTCTAAAAAAAACCCCAAAACACAGTAGATCAGCACATATTTTAATTATTAAAATAGAATCATACTTGACAAAAGCAAGCCCTGCGATACTTTTGTTATCATGCTACCTGTGTACATTTTAATCCTAGAATTGAGACAACAGTTTGCTTAAACATCTAAGGTTTGAGTTTCCTCTGCATAGTGGGAAGCAGACCCCCAAGACCAGTGTGGAGGTGATAAAAATCCTTGTAAAACATAAGGATTATTTGGGGCTTTTCTATGATGATAACAAACTAGGCATAACTGTTTCTTAAGAGTTGTTAAGTAGAAACACAATGTACTAATTCTGTTGTTAAAATTTAAAAGCTTGATTTCAAAATAGCGTAGAAATCTCACACTGAAACACTACTAACACAGATAATACACAAGTTAATTATATACATGTACAGTCACAGGAAGACTCCACACGGGTGATTTTAACAAGGCAGGCAAAATGCACAGGCACTGAACATAAGGTAATGCCAAGCCGTGAGCACAAATCACGGTGGTTCCTTTGTTCTGAATGAGAAAGTGGCATAAGCAACTCAGGGTGTGCCCCTAGCGTGAGAGCTCCTCCCCCACACCATGCCCACCCCAGGCATCATTTTGGGAGAAAAAAGTGTCTTCTATCAGCTTAGCTGTGTTACCTGCTCTGACTCCTCCTCGCAAGGCTGGCACAGTACCCAGAGCGGGCATCTGGTGAGCTCATGCTAAGGGATGACAGTCCCAGTGTGACTGCAGAGGACGCTTTACTAACAGGGCCACGGAACTAGTCTCGACTGAGCAAGAAAAACTGGAGGCGACTTGCTGACATTTCCAAGCTGCTTCCTTGTAAAACTCATTTTGTGCCAGGAGTTGGCTGTACTCCCAGCAAGAACAGGTCCCTTGGCAGGATTGTCGCAAGAGATTTGGAAATAATAGAAGTAGAGAAATAACAGGGAATAGAGAAATAACCTAGACAAGAGACAAAGTGTAGTTTGAAAAGATGGGGGAGTCAGGGGTCCTCCAGCATTCCCGTGAGCTGTGAGGCCCTGAGTGAAGTCTCACATCAGTGTTTACTGCTGCTGCAATTAGTTGCCAGTGGTTACAGAGTTACATGATAACAGATAGTTCCTCTAGGTTTAAAGACTCTCCCAAAGCTTCTAGAGATCCCTTAATTAATTCTATCTATGTGAGCAAACGGGCACAAAATCTTTCTAAGGTAAACTTCTAAGCCCTAAGATAAAATTATCAATTAGCAGAAAGACTAAACAGAACTATAACCTGGCTCTTTATTTCTTTATCTAGTTTCTTGTTGATTGAGACAAGTCAGGAGGGAAGCAGGAACTATCCCCAAGGCCAACTGTCTCTAGCTGCAGGTGACTGCCCAGTGAGCGGGCATTGTTTGATCAGTTCTCTACCTGTGACCCCCTACCGAGCCTTGTCTTGCACAAGCGTCAGGCTCAGGCCTCCACGTCCGAGACAGTGCCTCCTGGCAAAGCAAAAACGCTCCTGAGCGGTGAGATGCCCTCCTAAGGCAAGGCAGCTCTTGATCTGCTAACTGACACATTCACAGATTCCTTCAAGGCAAAGCCCTGCAAAACTCCTGAAACCTTTTATTTCTTAATCTGTCAACAATTTTTATAGCTCCTTTCATTAAAAAAAATTCTGATAGAATAATCTTGAAAAGGAAAGATAATCTAGCTACATGTCTACCGTACAGAAGCAAAGAGAAAACAACTGATCGTCGTTCGCGGTCTCTCGTGGTTCAGGACCTTTCGCAATGCACGGTGACTTCCCGGCAGCGACCCATGCTACGCCGCTGCACCAGGAACTTCAGTACTGCTCCCGGGCTCAAAATGGTCCAGGCTGGCCGGTTGTACCGCTGCCACACATAGGGTCCCCACGAAGGAGCGCGATGCGCGGGGGTCAGCGTAGTTTCTGAGCATCCGGAAACAGGCAGCGGCAGGGCGGTCTTATTACGCTAGGTGGCGTTCATTATCTTGACATGATTGGATGTTATAGCGTACGACGGATGACTGGAACTGCTTCTTCGGTTGCTTTATCTCGGTGTCTGACTGGTTTCAGTCCAGCACCGAGCGCGGGGAGCGCCGGAGAGAGGGGTGTCGAGGGTGAGCTGCACGGGCGTGGATGGGAGGCAGCCGACACCTGCGTGAAGAGTGGCTCAGTGCAGCACTGGCGAGAGAGCGACGAGCGGGCGGAGGGAGAGAGCCAGGCGAGTGGGAGTCGCTAGCCAGCCGGGGGCGGCGGGTGGCCCTGCTGTTCCCTGAGTCGACAAGGGTCCCGAGGGGTGGAGAACGGGGCGGGCCGGGCCGCCGGCAGGCGAGGGAGTGGAAGAGGTGTCCAGCGCGCATGCGGAGAGGCAGAAAGAGGTGACAGGGCGGAGAGCGCGGGGCGAGGCAGGAAATTGGGGCGCGAGCAGAGGAATAGATAGAGCTGCAGTACAATGAATCGTGACATAAGCAGGGTTGGAGGGTTAGCGGGGCAGCGTGGCAGCGGAAGGCGCGAAGAGAAGGACATGGCCAATGCGAGCTGGGCGACGGGATTGCCGTCGATCAGGGAGTCGGAGGCCATGCGGGGGGTTTCGTTTGGAGGAGGTTCGGAGTGTAGATGATAAACCCGCGGTGTATGGGCCGGCGGGGGGCGGGGCGGGTGGGAGATCTGTGAAGTGCTAGCAGCTCTGGGGGGAGGCGAGGCGAGGAGGACGTGACGCCCGCGAGGCGGGGGTGGGTGGTGGGGAGAGCGGCGAGTTCATGGGGTATTGATGGAACGAGGCGCTAGAGGCAGGGAGCAGGAGGACCTCGCTCTGTACCGTAAGAGGGAATAGATATAAAGGGAAGTGTGGGAGCTAAGAGGAGAAGAGAAAAAGAATGTAGGCGGGGCTGTATGTTGCTGTGGCGGTGAGTGGCCTGTTAGTGTGCCCAGCATTCAGATGGCTGAGCAGGGTAGATCGCTGTGGAGCTCAGGAGTTTGGAGGGTTGCTGTGAGCTAGGCTGACGCCACGGCACTCACTCTAGCCTGGGCAACGGAGTGAGACTCTGTCTCAAAAAAATAATAAACTGAAATAAACCGGCGTGCAGCTGACAAGGAGCACTGCGCAGCTACACCCGGAGAGGGGCTCCTTACTTTGGGACAGAAATGAGCCCCAAAGCACAGCGTGAAGAACAAAGTAAAATGCGCCGTGCGTGGTCTGCTGCCCCTGCGTGAGGAGGAGGACAGAAACACACCGATTCACGTTCTCCTGACTATGCAGAAAGTCTCTAGAAAACACTTCTAAAAACATACTGCTGTCGCCTTCAGGGAGAGAAACTGGGGGGCTGGGGAACTTTTCACTGTACACCCTTTCGCAATTCTGGATTTTAAACCATGTGCACTTATTGTCTACTCCAAAATGACACTAAAATCCCAGGTTTAGTCCAAATCACACCCAGAGAACCCAAGAACTACCCTATTTCTGTTTTTATTGACAGTCCTACTGACTGCAACTGCTGCTAAATTCTAAACGGAAACGCTCTGAAAAGTGACACAGTGACAACCCGACAGGTGCCTCGCAACGTGGCCCCAGAAGTGACGCAAAGTGCGGCTGGAATTTCTCTGAGCGCAGCAGCGGGGCCTCTGTCTCTCCGTCTGGCCAAGGCGGGCGCGTTACCGCGAGAACAGCGGTACAGTGGTGAGGCTGCTGACGCTGCCATGAAGCAAACAGCTGTCACCCCGGCGTCCCAGCCATGGCTCCAGGTGATCTGTCTCTGAAGCCCAGAGCCGGGACGCACAGGGTCTGTCCCCGTCACTGTCAGGCAGCACGGGTGGCCGACACCACGGCCGGGGCCGCGTCGGGAGTCCAGACCTGAAGACGAGCCGGCGCTCCTACCTTCTCGTCCACCGTGAAGCGGTGGTAGATCCCCGCGGGCAGCGTTATCATGTCCCCTTTCTCCATGGCAATGCGGATCCACTTGTCCTCGGCGTCCCTCACGTCGAAGTACCCACTGCCGTCCAGGATGTAGCGGATCTCGTCGTCCAGGTGCAGGTGCTCCTCATAGAACATCTTAATCTAGTGCGGGGGACACCTCTGTAAGTCTCCCGGAGAGCAGTCACGCAGTGGCCCAGATCCGCCCCACCGCCCGGAGCCGAGCCTTCGACAGAACAGAACGGAGGGGAACGGACCTTCTCTCTGTGAAAATGGAAACTGCACTTGCTGAGAATTACCACTGCACTAAGTCCAAGGGGGAGAGTTAGAATGTTCTATGAAACCTACCAGTGGCCGGGCAGGAACAGAAAGAATGAACACTCACATACACCACGTGCCAGGTGACGTTCTAAATACACATCACCAAGCACTCACAACCCCAGGAGGTAGGTACTCTATGCCATCCCGTTTTACAGATATGGGAACGGTGGCACAGAGAGACTAAGTCACTGGCCCGACCTCACACAGCGAAGCTGCCGCAAGACACTCGCCCCCGTCACACCCAGCCCGGTGCGCCACGCAGAGCTCATGCTCCACAGCGGGGCAACACAGCACGACCCTGCCTCTCCAAAAAGTTTTTTTAAAAATTTGGCCAGGCACCAGTGGCTCACGCCCGTTCTATAGCACCTGGTTGAGGTGATGCGGAGGATCACTGACTCAGGAGTTGGACCAGCTGTAGCAGAGCAAGACCCATCTCACTTATAAATGAAAAAACTAATTGCAACTATAAATATATTATATAAAAATAATTAGCGGATGGTGGCACATGCTGTAGTCCCAGCTACTCAGTGAGGCTGCAGCAGGAGACACTTGACCAGGAGATTGAGGTTGCTGTGTACACCTAAGTCCCTGCCTCGCTCGCGGGCCAGCAGGCAGGAGGAGCTGAGGCTTAGTTGCCGTGAGCTAGGCTGTACGCCATGGCCACTCTAGCTGGACAAAGAGCAAGACTGTCTCAAAAAAAAAAATTAGCCAGGCATGGGGGCCTGTCCTGCAGTCCAGGATACTCAGGCAGGCCTGGCAGGCACTATGCTGGAGAGCCCAGGAGTCAAGATATAGTGACCTATTATGGCCACGCACTGGCAGCCTGCGTACAGAGAAGACCTTGTCTCAAAAAGAAAAAATGTAAAATAAAATCTTTTATTTCCTTGTCCTCATGGATCTAAGCACGTATACTCAAAGTAAATGACTGCAAGTATTGGGGTGATTATGACTGTGTGATAGTGGAAATAAATGCGCATTGTCAAGGCTCAGTCCAGCACAGCCATTAACAGTGACCAGTCGTAGACCCGGGCCACAAGCTTGGTGTCAAGCCCCACAAGCCAGACTGGAAAAATGTCTTCCATGACAACCAGTCCTGGTGCAAAGTTGGGGACCTCTTGCTCTGGGGTGGAGGGAAGGAACTGGTAACACCAGGCTGGGAATATATATGCATCCTTAAGGCCAACACTAAAAAAATTGTTTTTTATCGAGCAGAGTCTCTGTTCCTGGCTAGAATTGCCGTGCTCGCAGCCCGCTCACAGCAACCTCAAACTCCTGGGCTCAGCATCCTCCTGCCTCAGATCCTCGAGTAGGGACTACAGGATCGCCACCGTATGCCCGGGCTATTTTTCTATGTATATTTAGTTGTCAGCTAATTTCTTTGATTTGTTAGAGGGGTCTCGTCCGCGTAGGGGCTCGACTCCCCAAAACACTCTTGAGCGATCTCCTCCGCCATCACCTCCTAGCATGCTAGGATGTACGGTGTGAGCCGCCACACCGGCCTAAAATACTTTTTTAAATGATAAGCTAAGAGGGAGAAAAGAGGATTATATAAAATGCTCAATTAAAGCCAGACAAGGCAGAAAATGAGAACATAAAAAAAACAAACAAAAGAACAATGAATGGAAAACAGTTACAAATACAGCAGATATTAAATCTACTATATTAATAATCCACTGAAATGTGAATGACATAAATACACCAATTAAAAGAAAGAAATGGTCAGAACAGACTTTTTTAAAAAGCAACTATATATGTTGTCTGCACGAAACCCACTTTAAATACAAAGACACAGACAGGTTTAAAGGAAAGGGATGGGGGAAGATATACCATGTTAACACTACTCCGAAGAAAGCTGGAGGAGCTGCACTAACCTCAAACAGGGAGGAGCAGCAGGGAGGAAGGGACGCTGTGCAATGACAAAGGGCCAGTTCTCCAAGAGGACGTGGCAGTCTCTACACGCACGCATCTGACAACAGAGCACCCAAACACGAGAGATGCATGCAGAAACAGGTCCACTGCTCGTTTCTTGGTTTTAATTTATTTAGAGACAGGCTCCTGCTCTGTCGCCCAGGCTGGAGTACAGTGGTGTCATCATAGCTCACTGCAGCCCCAAATTCCTGAGCCCCAGCGGTCCTCCTGCCCCCGCCTCCCAAGGGCTGTGATTACCGAGGCCCAAGTCCGCTGTTAGAGCTGGAGACTGCGACACCCCAGCAGTAACTGACAGATCCAGCAAGCAGAAAACCCGTAAGGACACGGCTGACCCGAGCAGCACCATCAGCCACCCGGTCCTACCTGCCACTCAGACCGCTGCATCCGCCACCAGCACAGCACGTTCCTGTCGAGCTCACACGCCACGCTCGCCAAGACGGACAACATGCCGGGCACAGAGCAAGTCCCAGCGTGTCTACAAGGACTCACATCAGACCACGTGTGTTCTCCGACTACAGTGGCATTAAACCACAAACCAATAAAAGAAAAACCTCTAGAAAAAAATCCCCAACTCATTAGAAACTAACACATATCTTATAAAAAGAAAAAAAAACCTGAATAAGCCAAAGATAAAATCAAAAAGGAAATTAGAAAGTATCTTGAACTAATGAAAATAAAAACAGAACCGGCCGGGCGCGGTGGCTCACGCCTGTAATCCTAGCACTCTGGGAGGCTGAGGCGGGCAGATTGCCCGAGGTCCGGAGTTCGAAACCAGCCTGAGCAAGAGCGAGACCCCGTCTCTACTATAAATAGAAAGAAATTATTTGGCCAACTAATATATGTAGAAAAAATTAGCCG